AATATAGTTTAGCAATTCTCAATTAATTTTATTAATTCTTTTCATTTTACGGTATGATTGTGAATCACAATATCGGTAGCAGTTGAATTTGAGTCAATAGTGGCGTATGTTCCCGATTGTATGATCAAATACACAACTCCTATATAGTCACTGTGTGGTCATACGTAATAGGAGTTATCACATCAACTGTTATTTATTATAATGCGATTAGTGTGGCGTGGAATAATCGTCCGAATTGCATGGTTTCGCTGAAGCCGGCCATTCATAACCGGCCCACGAACCAAGGTGTGATCGTGTTAGGAAAAGATGCAGTTGAATTGAGTCATTTGATTGGGCGCGGCAAAGAGCTGGTGCCACCAATCAGCATTGCTGAATCATAAATATGAAGGGCCAGGTGTCATCATAGATTAAAACAATGTTGGCGTGTAGGCTTTGCGCTGATTCACCGGTCAAGAACTGTTACAGAAAGTTTATATTCGTTGAGTTGACCCGTTTCCAAAATTTCTTATTCCAGCGTTGAAAATTGTTTCTGGGCAAGTGAATGAAGACGATGGAATGTCCGAATATTTATGCAAAACCGTGTTTTAGTCAACTGAAAAAACTGTCGAAGCAGACTACATATCGGTTTGTCCGATCCGGTTTCGTTGCAACAAACACATCATTTCCCTCAGATACATCACTAAGTTTTTTTATATTTTTATGGCCAGTAAGCTCGTCCACAGAAAAAAAAAAGTTGATTTCTATATTTTACCGAGTAATGTTTGAGGCTTCGGCCGATCAAATGGTCCTTGGCTAGCGAAGATGGCGTGGAATGGACACAGTGTTGGTTCTAAATTCATGTCAAGTGTTGTAATGTATGTATGCTCACTTGTTTGTAATATGTTATATGTCGTTAATATCATATATCAGCAATACCGGTAGCCGTAAAACAAGCAATGCAAATATATCATTAAATACCATGAACAAACAAACAAGTCATTCACGACCGAACCTTAGATCAGTGCACAAACTCCAAAATGCTCGTTAAACACCAAAATGCCGTTCTTTCCACCAAAAAACACACAATTTTGTAAAGTATTTGTAACAGCAAGAAAATTCACAAAAAACAGCGAGTTACTCCAAAAACTGTGAAACTTATTGTTTCACTGCGTTTTATTGGGCCTGGGGTTAAGCTCAAAAATCCCATTTTAATAATGACAGAAAACTAAAAGAAAACTAAAATTCAGTCTATAAATTTTCTAATGTACAATATTAAAACATACTCCTCCACTACTGCATGTTTACAAAATGATGATGGTTGTATTCAGTAAGTTATTTTGGAGATCGTGTGTAGCAACTGCATGCAGCTCCATGTGTGTAGTTCTCCGACGAGGCAATATTTTTTTGTTCATGGTATTATACTTCTGGACATTTCTTCAAAATAATTGATACATGACTGACAAACAATACCACTACTTGTTTTCTTCGAATTATAAACTTTCACTCGATGTGGATTTTATATTCTTCATAAAGGAAAAAACACCCTTAGTAAGTTCGCAAAATCGAAATTACCCTTCGCTTTATAAACGAACGGTACTTCGAGCATATGAAAATACAATGTACACGTGTATCTTCAATAGTAGTTGGTTCACTAACTACATAGTTATTAATGCTGTGGTTAGGCAAAGAAAATATGATTTGTTTTTTTATCATTGTTCATGATTCTTTTCATCTGAAAATGGCCATATAATATACAATTCTTACATTTACGGACCACAAACAATCTTTCTTATAAACATTGCGACCAAGGCAAATTAAGGACGGTGATCTAATATTGTGAATATACATAAAGTCTTAAATACATTTATCAATGATGAAATAGACGAGAAAACCCCAAGTTCGGATTGTAAATTAATGTGAATGGTACGATTATTAGTGTGAGAAATAATTAGTAATCGTTGAGCCTAATTATTGAAAACATTATATCATTATGTTTATTATAACCATTGAGAGAAATTGACATGCATGCCCCAAATCACAGTGTTATTACTTTGGCTACGTGACATCTGGATAGACAATAATTGTTATTTAAAATGTCAGGAGTAATTTAATAATTCATTTCTATAGAGTAAATTGAACAATGTATAGAATGGTTGATGTATTGTAACTCTGCACTTATTAATGAATCATTTGGGGACTCGCATCTTAAAGCATTAGATCAATAGAGTTCAATAATTGTCGTTTTGTATCAAAATTGTGTGCGCGCTAAAACTGTGCTTATTTTGACAATCTCCGTTAATGTGTTTCGAAATCTTATTACCTGTGTACCCATGTAAAGCTGTAGAATAAAAAAGACATTTCTGTTTTATTTTAATTTGATGCAGTAAATTTACACTTAATTTTTTAAATTCAATATGTGGCATGTGAAGGTGAAAAGCGGGCGAAAAACTGCAACTGTTATACTCGTAGTATTATATCGTCGTATAGTTGCATTCAAGGTTAACTATTGGTTGGTTTTTGCTATATTCAAGATGTTTACTGCGAATACATTTCAGATTATACAATACAATACTACACAATTGTACACAGGTGTGTTTGCAACCGTCGATCCAGCTGTCACGCCTCGAGTGGGGTACGTGGAATACGCAGAATTACTCATTAGATTTCCTCAACTATTTAAAGACATCCACCACATAATGGAATCACATGATATTATGTATATCATCGTTCATCTTGCATCGAAAACACTGCACAAAAGATAAAGATTTACTGGACTGAATTTTCACAATTCAGGGTGCCAAAACATCAGCAATTAACTGTTAGGATTGGGACACCCGAAAAAGTAAAAACAGCTGTTCGTTTAGAACTAGCAGAAGGATGTCCATATTGCTTGCACCCAATGTTTATGACTGAAACTAGACTTGGTTGCAGTCTGTTGCAATTCCGATGAAAAATTCTTGAAAAATAAATCTCAACATCATTTCGACTTGCCATCAGTGTAAGCGCCCTCACATTACCGGCCAGATTCGGGCTTGTAAATTTGCATATACGTCATACGGTGGGTGGAGTAGCGTAACACTTGTCTACGCCCTAATAATACAAAATAAGAATAATGCCAAAGAAAATGAAAAATAAAACATATGGTTCATATACGTGTTATTAAGCATTGATTCGTGCAATAAAAGAACATTTTCTTTCAAGCAGTTTTTAAAGACATGCCGCCATAGCATTCGCCAATGTGAAATCACGCCCTCTGTCGGCATATAGAACGCAGAAATATACATAATGTATTTTATCATTGATCGCGATATTTGTATTGAGTTCACTAATATATTGTTGTAGAATATTAAAAATATCAAATACGAGACTCTGTATTATACAACATATAATCGACGCAGCGCTGCGGACACATTCATACTTGTGTACTTGAATGAGAACAAATTATAACATTATGATTTCATTTCGTACAAAACTAATTAGGGCCAGGTACTTTTAAAAATGTTTGGGTCAATGGCGACGTATTTATGAACGAATAACATGCATACATTATCTACATTATTTGTGCATGTATTCCTTAGCGGCAGTGCCTCGAATCTACACCATACAGCACTGAGCATAAACTCTCAAAGCTTGCATTTTTACTGAAAGCCAATGCTGTCAATCAGTATTTGATTTTTATTCTTAACTTTAAATTTAAGTAACTATAACAAATTCAATATTCTAACCTCGGCCAATTAGTCAAAATTATGTTAGTGTAATTTAAACTAAAAATTGTTTGCAAAATAACACATTGCCAATGTAAATGTTGACATTCGGCAGTAATGAATTCGGGGGGAAATTTTGGTGTATGCAAGTGAGTTTGCTATGACCACAAATGTTCCCGCAAAACGCAAAATCTATTGCGCAGAATGAAAAATTACCGTTTTGTACATTCGACAAATTATATGGAGCGGTCTGCCCTTTCGCAAAAAGTGGAGGAAATAATTAAATTTTATGATTTGAAAGTCGGTTTAGCTCAAACAGATCATAATAGCGTTTATCCAGTGGCTACAATTTAATGGTATTATTGAATCAATTATATTCATTTGGTCACGTGTCAAATGATAGACCACGCCCATAAATGACGTCATCGTGTGCTAGTAACAAATACATTAAGTATATAATGTTTCACGGCTTTCGAATAATGACCATTACCCAGCCACTCGTCATAGCTGTAGTATACTCGTATTATGTCTCTTAACACGATGATTACTGCGACGTTTGTCCTTGTGTTCGTGATTTGGGCAGGAGGTGAGTCTGATATGTTTTCAAAACATTTATTCACCCCCCCTACCCTCCTTCAAATTTAACGAAAGTGAGCATATATTACGATATCGACGTCATGTTAATACAAATCTGATTAGGTTTTTGCAAATTAATTAATTTATTTTCATAAGGATGGATGAATAGTTTAATTTCACTGTCACTTGAAAGTTGCGGTTGATCAATCGGACTGGAAATAATCTACTACGGAATTCAACCTATTGTATATGAGTAATATAAATCACTATTATTAAAGCATATTATTATTGTATTTTATTAGTGGCGTTTGGCTCGCCAGAAGAATCTCTTTTGGTTCAGAATTTATTTACTGATGCTCAATACGACAAGTATATTCGACCTGCGCCTCGGTTCGATGTAGCAATCTATGTGAATTTTAGCCTCGGATTGAATGTTCTCCTTGACGTGGTAAGAGTTATGCTTACATTATTCGTAGTCGCTTTCAAAATGTGGTAACAAATCCATTGGTTAATTCAGTGCTACTAAGCCCACGTGGGTAATAATTATATATTATTCCTTGATAATTTCCCCAGATATGTTTCTTCGTTCAGCTGGAGAAAATACGAGTGACGTAAGAGCTGCATCACTACTCGTCTTGTGTGACGGTGACTCACTGGGATGCTAATATACATAGGTTTTTTAGTCCCCGTTTCATGCGCAGCCTGAAAGGCTGACTATTAATTCTTATTTCAATTTTCCGTCTGTGACGTCTCTAACATTTTCTCAGAAATTCTGCAGCAGATATCGATGAAACCTGGCAGGTTGATGAACAAGTCTCTGCCGAATATGCACGTATTTTTTTTTCCAGATCTGGAAATCCTAAGTAGGTCTTGTTCATGATTTTCATCCAAAACTACCTCTCCCAACACCACTGAGAGAACAACTGATCATGCTCAGAATAAATAATTAGCTTAGATTGTAATGCTGGGGTTTTTAGTGATGTCATGACCTGGTCTGGACCTTGATCTGTATTAGTGACAGATGGGTCGTACTATTACCAATCTCAGTGGAAACGGTTGTCAGGGCTACATTTTGATGGGAATTATAGTGGTGTTACTGAAACAAACCCAGGTTCTGGTATTATACACAGACCTGAATTAACAAAGAAGTAAAGTTGTTATTAAAGGTACATCAAGGTTTATTCAGATTTATGAATGCAGTTTCTTGAGCATGTATAAGACATAGTTTGGTTGCACTTGTGTACTCTGAGATTTTGAACCCGGGTCAATGAAAGTTTTCAGTTATCAGATTAAGGGAAATCACTTTATGATGAGTTGTGCCAACATAGAGTACATATTAGTTGTTTGCAGATGTTCCATGTACTATTTTAACATGAGTATTTTATAATTAAACTAGTAGCTTCGCGGTAAGTGGCTTTCGCGGTAAATGTGTTTCGTATTGGGTAGGTCTCGCGGGGAGTAGGGCTTTGTCGCAGTAACTGGTCATCATTGTTGAGAATTAAAGTTTTATGTTTCTTTAACAACTTGCGCTATTCTGGGAATACCATCCTTAGAAGCTATTAATTTGCCGTTATGATTTGTGCAGTTGCTCTGGCAGGAGTTCCAAAATAAAACCCATGCTCTGATAATGCCCATAGTTTCAAAAACCAAGAAACATTATCATTATGATCTTATTGGTGTTGCACAGGATAGTTGAATATTGTTTATTGGCGATCCGCTCCGCTAGGATTGCCCTTATAATCACTTTTGTCGTTTTGTGTGTGTGTGTGTGTGTGTGTGTGTGTGTGTGTGTGTGTGTGTGTGCGTGTGTGTGTGTGTGTGTGTGTGTGTGTGTGTGTGTGTGTGTGTGTGTGTGTGTGTGTGTGTGTGTGTGTGTGTGTGTGTGTGTGTGTGTGTGTGTCTGTGTGTGTAATTTCCAGTGTTTGCACGTATGATTTCGTCTGTGATTTTTTTGGCTTGGTCGATTTCTTTCAAACTTGGCAGGTAGGTCACACCTTCACTCTAGTTATTAGGAAAAATCTGAAGAAAATAGCATAGCATCAGACAAAAAACTGATTTTTGGATAGCTGCGTGCCAAATGTATCTCCCCATACAAATTTAGGATAAAACACTTCAGACATAGCTCATTCTACTCAGCTTGAGTGTGGGCACAAAGTTACTATTTGAATTTTTTGATATCTTTTTTCATTACCGAGAAATTTGACCCCAAAGTTGGGGTAACTTTTTACCAACACCGGCTTTTAACTCCTCTGTGATTTTTTCGCCTCGGTTGATTTTGTTCATACTTCACAGGTAGGTCATACCGTCACTAATTGTAAAAAAATCCTGGCCTACCACTGCCATTGCAACATCAAAAAACTGATTTTTGAATACTTTCGCCCCAAATGTATTACCTCCTACCAGTTTTGTAATGCTTTTTATTTTGGCTCAGATGATCATGCTTTTTATTTTGGCTACGTTGCCACTGGTAAGAGATCACCAATGCCGACGTTGTTACACTGTATCAACGTAATTCCAACGCAACTTTGAACTATGAAAGAACTGTAAATGCTGCCTTCATTCTGGAAAATACTATCGCAAAACGGTTGTAAATAATAAATGTAACAGCAGAATACGTCCTAGTAATAAACTAAGTGACTTCTAAAGACTGAATGGTTTTTGCGAACTTCGTATACAGGGCCCCATTTAGTTATAAACTGACGTTAGCTTCACGTTCATGTCCTACCATGGAAACAGCCAAAAACATGTTGCTTGTTTTTTGAGCGGAGCGGATCGTCAACCAGCCTACCGGCTTGTGTTGACTATGTCCCGGACTGTTTACTAGTACTTACTTACTTGTCAGCGTCTAACTGTTATATACAGCCCAGAACACGTCAGAATAGTAAAAAAAGTCAGGAAATATTAATTGCCCGTGCCTTGAGAGCCGTTGAACCAAAACAATTTGTCATCCTTCGCCGCCCACAGCATTGAATGATTTTATATTGCATAGAAAAGAACACTAAATGCAGCTATCCCGGTCACCAATCAAATCACCAATCTTCATGATTTATGCAACTGGTATTTCCATCTATTTGCTCAATGGTCTGAACTTTTAAATTGTCAAGTTCGAGAGTGTGTTTTTACGTACAGTGACGCAGACATTCAACAACGTGTTGAACAGGAAATCCATCTTGCGCTAGTGGCATTGTCAAATTTTAGAGAGTACGGGAAATGTTTCAGTAAGGAATTGTTATGTATATCAAAATCCTTTATTGGAACAGAACATGTTATATATTCACCAAAAACAACGTTGCCATGTTTCTAGGCGTACAACGAATTGGAAACAAAAGAAATCGTCCGATACGTTTCTTGGATAATAAAAAAATACTGACTTGCAGCCATGCCTGTGCTAGCTGTAACTTGAACTCTTTTGGTCTTCCCAAAATTCCTGATTAGTTCAATTAGAGTTTTAGTCTTGCCAGTTCCAGCTAGTCACATTAATAAAAAACTGTGTCCATGTATGGCCATGTCTAAACTGAACTGTTATTTTTTGACATTGTGATCTGCACTCAAAGCTCTAATCCACAACACTGATGAAAAGTTATTTTAAAAATTGTTGAATGCTAATAGCAAACCGTTTAGTTCACAAATGACTAACTTCAAGATGGAACAAAATTCAAATTATGAAATTTGAAAAAAAAATAGAATGAATATGTGTTGCAGGTGTCAATCAGGCATCAAAACATGAAAGAAGCTCAGTCAAAAACTTGTTCCTTCAATGATCCTGGTCTTCCCCCAAAAATGTTACAGTGCTGTTCCAGGATGTTAGCTCACTAGAGTCTGTCTAGCATCTGATCATGTACTCAATTGAAACAGATGGCATCAATTACAATTATTAAATTTAAGCTTAATAAGTACTTCCAAGGTCATATCTGTAAATTACTAATTGTATGGGTGTCCAATATGGTGACCAAGGGCAAAACAATGTTATACAAATTAGCTTTAGTTGAAAATTTGAGTTTTCTTAGCGATATCTACGTGAATTTGAACCAAAATGTTATCGGCAAGACTCAGAATACGACTGTGACAGCCACTGAAACACAATTAAAGGCAAATGAGGGGAATGGAATTGATCAGTTGATTTGAAGGTGTCACAATAAGCAAGGGAGTAAATCGTTTTTATGCAACGAAAAAATGCAGAACTTGAACGTACTTTTTGGACTTTAGTACAACGTCATTTTTGTTTGATTACCTAACGTTTTTAGGTTCATTTGCTGCAAGTTACAGAGCATATACCTAAGCGGCCGTCCTTCAGCAAATAATAAAGCAAAGGCATTTTCGATGTCGAAATCGCGAAACTCTCCCTTTTTACGCAAACTGGGAAGTTCGAATTACTAAACGAAGTAAAGGAAGACGAAGATGAAATATCCAAGAACCAATACATACCAAAAATTATATCTCAAAAGTGAATATTCGTGGTGTATTTTATGTCTAACCGGACCATAAGTGAAAATCTGTTAGTACTATAATTATCCAAACATATTTTAGTACAAGGTAGTAATAACGGGAACTGTGACATTCATGTCTTGTTTTTATTGTAAACGACTATTATTTCTGTTTATTTCGAGAACCGGAACTCGGTAAAAATAGTTTAGCAGAACCAATGACATAGACACGGGATTCAAAGACGAAGAACAGCCAGATTTAATATAAAAGCCGTATTTTCCGTTCTACAGAGAATAACTTGGCTTGTGTGCTTGATAATATACCACATACCTGGTTTCATTTATTGAAAATAATCATGATAGTTAGCTTTATTCACCATAAACTTGCTGGGACTTAACCCAGATTAAAACTACATTCGATAATTACTTATACGACTTTTGTTAACATATCTACGGTTGGGTATGTTATTAACACTTGTCTTATGATACAAATCATTTATCAATTATGCAATAAACATGGGCTGCAAATTAATACGGATGTACAAATTATATTTCTGAAATGTATTACCTTAATAGTATAAGAAATACTCATTAAATCGCTGATGCCTGGCTAATATAAACATTCCATCATTATGTTAATTTTAAGTATAAAGGGAAAGTAACATCCTGTGCCTTGCACTTACTAAACAGTTTCATTTTACTTGACGGTTATTACTTCGGCAAAATGTGACAGCTGAATAGACAATTAATGTAATTTAAAAAGTCAAGAGTAATTTGATAATTCATTTTTATACAGTAATGGAACAATTTGTTTGTATAGTATGATTGACGTATAATAATTCTGCACTTATTAATAAATCCGTTGAGTGTTTTTCACTGTAAAGTGTTCGATCCGTGCAGTTTTAAAATTCTTGTCCTTCATGGAAATCGTAAACACGAACATATTTTTTATTCAATCAGCGGCATGTGAATAATATTACATCGACCAAAAGAAATAACCGATCGAATGGCTGAACTTGTTAATTTGCTTTGTACGTATATTAGGTTTTAATTTACAGCCAACCTTTATTCAAATATTATCCAACCACATTCAACCACTGATTTAGAGATGTGAGCGTCATAACAATAAAATTGGGAAGTGAGACTTTATTTTGAACTTGTTTATCACGCAATGCTAACTGGATTATACAAATCACCGAAAAATGACGACGAATTGAAATATTTGTTTCAACGTACACATCGTCTACAATGATTTATTCTTTTCTTCTCAGGATGAAAAAAGTCAAACGATCACATTAAGCTGCCACACGGATCAGGTAAATATTGTTGTAGATGATATAAGTATATATATGAACTGTACAATATTTGGGTGAACTAGTATGAAGATACTAGTAATAATTGTGTCACCATGAGGAAAACACTTAATCAAGGGTAATATGCATGCCTATTCATAAGGTACTTTCAATTTTCAAGGAATGGATTGACATGCGCCTCCTGTGGAATCCAGCAAATTACAGCGGTTTAACAGAAGTGGTCGTACCAGCTGACTGGTTTTGGAGACCCACTATTATATTATCAAATGCGTATGTATAACCACATTACAGTGACATCGACTAAAATATGTATATAAAAACAAAAACAAATCATTTGGCGTTAATCAGCGTAATCAATTAATGCTTTAATGAAGATTTTAATAAAGAGATCTGAGAGTAAATATGAATATTCAATGTAACGTCTGCTCCTTATTACAGGGCTGATGGTGATTACTACGTACCGAGAGGACGAGAAATTTTACTAGACTACACTGGGAGAATAAAAAACAACCCCCCTGCCATATTCAAAATTGCATGCAAGATGGATCTCGAAAAGTTTCCGTTTGACGTACAACGTTGTACGCTCAAGTTTTCGGTATGGCAGTACGCCACAGATAAGATATTGTTCTCGCCTTCCCAGGATACTGTAGCTATGTGGAGTAATACTCAAAGTAGCGAGTGGTACATAGATGAGACATCGGTTATTGGCAGTTTGTATGATCATAATAATAAATCTTGGGGCAAAATTAGCGCTACTTTCACGTTGAGACGCATGCCTCTGTACTACCTAATAAACATAGTTCTCCCGTGTGTAGTGATGGCGCTATTGACTGTATTGTTATTTCTTCTTCCGTCCGACTGCGGTGAGAAAATGTCTTTCGGTGTTTCCATCCTGATCTCTATCTCTGTCTTCACGTTATTGGTGGCAGATATTATGCCGGCCACATCGGATAGCGTGCCTCTTATAATGCGTTTCTTGATCTTCGACTTGGTGTTTGTAGCGGGCTCCATCGTCGCCTCGGTATTCGTCTTGCGCGTACATCACCGCTCTAAAGGAAACCTATCGATAAAACCATGGATGAGAAAGCTGTTCATGGTATGTCTACCGTACTGCTTGTTCATGGAACCAAAGACAAAATTGTCCAAGGTACGAAATTGTCAGGCTGAGATTAAGAAGTCGTTACCGAACATGGAAGAAGAAGGAAAGCACCAGACCAGCCAGCTGTCGGTATTTGGTTATGAATCCAGTGAACCAGGTAATAAGAAGGTACAACTGCCACCGTACGATGCATATGTAGATCAACTCAGAGAGATGAGAAATGAGATGAATCGACAGAATGAGAAGGACCAGAGACACGATAAAGAAAAAGAGGTAAGTGTGACAAATTTCTCAAGCAAATTTCATGTTTGTTTCCTCCACCGTACACAACACAGGTTAGTGTCAATACTAAACTATGTCCAAACAATATAAAGCATTTTCCTTTATGTGTATATTATTTCTTTAAAGGAAAATTGTTAAATAAGGACTTGGAGTTGAAGGTGCCTGCTATCCAAACCATAACGTGGTACCTGCTATCCAAACCATAACGTGGTGCTTGCTATCCTAACCATTACGTGGTGCCTGCTATCCAGACCATTACGTGGTACCGGCTATCCAAACCATTACGTGGTTCTTGCTATCCAAACCATTACGTGGTACCTGCTATCCTAATTATTACGTGGTGCCTGCTATCCAAACAATTACGTGATACCTGTTATCCAAACCATTACATGGTACTTGCTATCCAAACCATTACATGGTACCTGTTATCCAAACCATTACACGGTACTTGCTATCCAAACCATTACGTGGTACCTGCTATCCAAACCATTACGTGGTACCTGCTATCCAAACCTTTACGTGGTGCCTGCTATAAAAACCATTACGTGGTACCTGCTATCCAAACCTTTACGTGGTACCTGCTATCCAAACCATTACGTGATACCTGCTATCCAAACCTTTACGTGGTACCTGCTATCCAAACCATTACGTGGTACCTGCTATCCAAACCATTACATGGTACCTGTTATCCAAACCATTACACGGTACCTGCTATCCAAACCATTGAGTGGTACCTGCTATCCAAGCCATTACGTGATACCTGTTACCCAAACCAATACATGGTACTTGCTATCCAAACCATTACGTGGTACCGGCTATCCAAACCTGTACGTGGTGCCTGCTATCCAAACCATTGAGTGGTACCTGCTATCCAAACCATTACGTGGTACCTGCTATCCAAATCATTGAGTGGTACCTGCTATCCAAACCATTACGTGGTACCTGCTATCCAAACCATTGAGTGGTACCTGCTATCCAACCATTACGTGATACCTGCTATCCAAACCTTTACGTAGTACCTGCTATCCAAACCACTACATGGTACCTGCTATCCAAACCATTACGTGGTTCTGCTATCCAAACCATTACGTGTGCCTGCTATCCAAACCATTACTGGTTCTGCTATCCAAAC